TCGAACAGACAAACCCTGAGATTTACCATGAATTACTTGCTGAACTAATTACTTTTTAGAACATCGACTTAGCATCGGCTTTTGGGCAAAGAAACCTGAATTGATTCCTCTCTCCCCAAAAATTATTTTGGGGGTGGTTAACTACTAGACCACCCCAGAAATCCAAAATAACCTAACCTTGCAAAACTCAACTTCCCTGGAATAGGTCAAAAATGCCAAACCTGATCCAAATTGACCCAAACTGTCTGAAAGAATCAAACCATGAGAACCTAATTATTTTGGGGGTGGTTAACTACTAAACCACCTATGATTTAGACCATCGATTTTTGAACAAAGAAATCTGAATCGACCCCTTCCTACCCCATAAATTATTTTGGGGGTGGTTAACTACTAAACCACCCCAGAAATAATAATAGCCTAAACTGGCAAAATTAACTTCCCATTGAGTAGTTCAAAATCCAAATTGCCTCGAACAGACAAACCCTGAGATTTACCATGAATTACTGGCTGAACTAATTATTTTTTAGAACATCGACTTAGCATCGGCTTTTGGGCAAAGAAACCTGAATCGATTCCTCTCTCCCCAAAAATTATTTTGGGGGTGGTTAACTACTAGACCACCCCAGAAATCCAAAAAAACCTAACCTTGCAAAACTCAACTTCCCTGGGATGTGTTGGGATTGACGGGATGTGGCTTGAATGAAGTTGGAAATGGCTGCAGATTGATTCAAAGAATATCCTGACTGAACATGTTGAAATATGTAGTTGAAATTTGATGTAATATGCTGAAATTATTTTGCAGGTGGTTTGCAAGTACCCCCACCCCATGAAATAATTTTCATCATGGGTGTCTGGTAATTATTTTATACAGTTGGAACTATATGAAATAATTTCCCCAATTCAACTGAGAAATTATTTTGAGGTGCCTTAAGTTGTTTGTTTAAAATTATTTCAAGGTGCTTCAACCTCTGTAGGTGGAAAATTATTTTTGCACCATCATCAAGGTACGGGTGCGAAAATTATTTTGCTATGGCTCTTGTCGGGTGATTTTAACATAAAATTTATGTTAAAAATTGGAAATTATTAAAAAAAAATATTTTGGAACCAACCCCCACCTCAAAATAATTTCCTAAGGTAGGACGCATACAAAACCCACAACTAGGTGCGACGTCCGAATCATGGAGCTTCACAGTTTCCTGGAGCTGCCTTGCACGTACCTGAGCTTCATGTTGTTCGACCTTGGAAGAGACAGGAACGTCTTCGGATGTCTTGTACACCTTAGTGAACTTTCTTGGACGGTGCTTGACGGGGACTTGACGACCGACTGCTTTCACCTCGATCACCTGTGGAACCTTTCGGAATCTAAGGCGCTTCATGCTGACTCCATGCTGGTCAGAACTCGAAGTTGCCTTCGGCTGTTTTCTGGCTATGCAAGCAAACTTCTGAATCAGGCATGGGGCGGCATTTGATTCCTTATTCTTCTTCTTGGGAGCGGGTGAATTGGCCCTTTTGGTGTCTTTGGTCGCGGCAGCAGCTTTGTCATCATGTTTATAGAAACATTTGTCGCCTCGTCTGCACTTTCCCTGGGCATGATAGATGCATGGGGTCTTAGCCATTTCTTCCTTTGACATTTTCTTCCCCTTATCATCTTTATTGCCCCTTGATGGTGAACGTGTCTTTGTTCTTCTGGGTGACTGTGTTCGGGACTTATCATCCTTTACATGCTTGAATGGACACTTTTTCCCGTTATCGCATTGACCCTTTTGGAACCTATAGCAGATCTTATCACCTTTGCTACGTTCCTGTGATCTTCCACGACTTGGAGAACCCTTTCGGCCACCGCGACCATCGCCTTTGGCGGGCGCGGCTTTTGTGTCCTTTGGTCCACCAGCCTTGTTCTTCTCCGCGATGCGGTTCCTGTTCTCCCTCAACCGTTCTCTGTCGATCAAGTTCTTCATGGACTGGTGGAGAAATCCGTAGGACTTCTCATGAGATTTCTCATGTGCACGGTCGAACACCTCGATGTCGTACTTCAGCAAATGACTTGGTCGGATCTGTCTCAACAGGATGTCCCTCAACACAGCATCATCGGGTGTGATAGCCATGCCCGCTAAGGTAGCATCCCATTTGTTGATGAATCTTCTAAGATCCTGAACTGTGTCACCTACTTTGACAACACCCAAAAGATCTTCTACTCTGTAAAGGCTGCCTGCTTCTTCTGATGTCTTGAAGTAATCCTCAAACATGAGCAGAACATACCTTCCCCTGACCCGGATGCCTTTTCGGGATTGTTGCTCTTTGAAGTTCAGTATCCTAGTAGCGAGGTCCCCTCCGGCTGAGCGCGTGAGCGCTGCTGATAACTTTGTATCCAGCGTAAGGAACTTCCCAGGATCTTGAAGCCTCTTCTCCAGCTCTTCTCTGGTGCACTCCTGATCGTACACTTCGTTGAGCCAAAGCCATGCTTCATCTGGACGATCTGAGCAACTCTTCACCTCATCCCTGACATGATTTTTCCAAGTCCTATACGATTCCGGAGCTGGCATGTTGTTCAGCTTGATGATTTCGGCTTCCTTAGTCTTTGGCTTGTCCTTCTCTTCCCTTTGGGTTAAGGCTTTCACCAATTCAATAAGTTCCGATGGACCCATCACTTGCTGTTTCTTGGTTACGCTCTTTGGGGAATCATTTGGGAGTTTTGATAGCTTCAGTGGGAGTCATAAACCCTGAATGCGTCGGCAAATGGGGCTTGTCGTTACCGACAGCCGGCTTCTGCTGGGGAGTCCCTTCTTTGAGCAACTCGTCCAGCCTCTCTTTTGCTTCCTGAGCCAACACAGCGGGTGTCTTCAACTCTAAAACCGGCTCACCGCTGCCTTTGGCAGCTTGCGCATCGGATGCTCTTGGAGTGGCAATGCTGAAGTGAGGCACAGCAGCAGTGGTGGCTGGCTCGGCTTTCTGGACGGATGCTTTCGGAACGGATGCTTGTTGCGCTTTGGCAAGATGCTTCAACTGCTCCTGAAGGTCATCGATTTGGCCCTGAAGGCTGAGATTTTGTGCCGCTGCTTCATTGATCTTTTCGGCCATTTCCTTCTTGTAGTTTTCAAACTCTGTTTTCAGGTTGATGTACTTGGCCTGTTCAATTGCAGCTTGATCTTCATATTGCTTCTTCGTGGCAGCTATGGCACCCTTTGCATGTTCAACTGTTTTTGCATAGGAGGCTTCGAATTCACTAGTGATACGTTGCCTTTCTTCTGCATGTTTGCCTCTGCCTTGAAGTCTTCTACTCTTTTGTCATGCGATGCTTGAGCCTGGTTTAATCTGACCTCTAGCTCATCACCTCTCTTGCTTTCCTCGTTGACTGCTCCAATTGCTTTGCTCTCTACGTCCTGCAACCTTTGCTCATACTCCTGCTCCTGCATGACGAGTCTACTTGACCATTCACTTCGGATTGAGTCGACTACTCCATGCATTATCCGAAGGTGCCTTTGTTCAGCTTCCCTCATGACTTGCAGGGTGTTCCCACTAGTGATTTGGGACAGGTTGTTTTGTATGAACGTAAAGTGCGCTACGACAGGTTGGAACATCGTTTCATCATCCATCGGCTCGGAGTTGCCTCCGGCCACATTGGGCACGGCGACAGTCGATGGACCTGACCCTGGAACGGCGAGAGGAAGGTCAGTTGGGGTCCCCATAGCAAAGTAGTGAGGCTACGGCTGATAACCTGAATATGTCAACCACCAATGTTATATACAATGGGGATGAACCACAAATCCGTTAAGCTGCTAGCACTTTTGAACCAACGCTGCAAGGTAGTATAGATGATATCTACAATACATGGTTTTACTGCAGGAGTTTTTACAGTTACTTTTTGCCAGGGATTTTTGGTCCCTGTTTTTTCGAGGTTTTCATCTTTAATGGGGAAAGAAATAAGAGACGCTTTTGAGGAAAAAAAGGAAACCTGTCTTGAGGTGCCTTGGATCCTGTATGTTCACAAAACCCTGTAAATATGCAGTAAATTGCATTGTTTCTTGCATATGTGCTTCAAACGGAGTGGAGTTATTTTTCTGTTTGCTGTTTTTTTGGGTGTTTTATGGAGGAAAAAACACTGGCAGGAGAGAACTTAGAATGCCATTTTAGACCTAAAATATGCATTTTGTATGGCAATACTGTGGTTCGGGGTCTGGCACATTGAAACATTCACACGCCGGCATTCTAAAATACCCTTAAAAACAGGTTTTTTGGCGGCATTCTAAGTTCAAAAATCAAAATTTTAACAAACTGGGCGCCATTCTAAGTTTCAGTGTGTCACTATATATATATATATACATATGTAGCTATTTATCTATGTATACATATATAAATATATACTTGCTTTGGGTTTGTGTTCTTTCAACTTCCCACCGCCAGCGCTAAATGCAGCACGATGCATGGCATGGCTGTCCCAGCTTTGTGTGCACTGCCAGGCACACACAAGAAAACCAGCAGCATTGTTTCACAAGAAAAGACATCAGGGTTTATCTATAATAAAGTTCCTTATTTTGCGCCATCAGAAATGGAGGAATTCATATATATATATATACGTAAAAAACATCCTCGGGTGTAAACTTAGCATGCATTTCACAAATAATCAAAAAATGTTTTTTTTCCGGCAAGTGAGATTTACGTATATATATATATATATATGCGTTTTCGTCCACCTTACCCCCTAAACTTAGAATGCTGCATTCTAAGTTGTTCTCCGTGACCCCCATTCTAACACGGGTTTGGAAACTGGGGGCCCCTTCTAAGTTTTAATCCGGTACTATAATTATGTATTCGCCTCGAGGGGACACAACTTTTGAAGTAAATTGCGCTGTGAACCCATGCTAGCGCTCGCAGGACGCAACCATTCTGAAAAACAACATGAAGAGAAGGATCTTGCAACAGCAGGGTGGCCCGTGCAGCAACAGCACGCCGGCCCACAAACTTTTGCAGGGAAACGACAATTTGCGTCCGTCAAGTGCTGCCTGCTTGAAGGCATGTGAGCAAAGGACTTTGAATTCGCACAGCTGGATGGAAATATTGGCGATGTCCGCCACAATGATGGCATACCTGAGCGCAATGGAAGAGCTGAGGCTGAACAAAAACCGACCCATGTTCCAATGTAATTCCTTGTGCGCCCAGCACAAATACAAAGTGAAAGCCAACGTGGCCCAGCGAAGGAAATCCATGTTCGTAATTTGCGGTGAATGAAAATAACACTGGCGTAGAAACATGAATGTGGCTCCCGTTCATCTGTGCGATGCGCCATCATCCCCATTGACACTGCAGGGGGTAACTCAAGTGACCCCCATTTTCTAGCTAGAAAAGTTCTGACCCACTCAAAAGCCTAGAAAATGCAAAAACCACATAAAATTGGACATTTTATTTGATTGGGCCATTCATTTTCTAAAGGGATGTATGGATGTTTTGGACATGTATTTTTTGAAACAAACAGGTGCATGAGAGTACAATTCACCACTTTGGGTCTAGAAAATGATCTGTAATGCAATCATAAGAACAATAAAACATGTTCTCTAAAAAAATGGTTTCAAAAATGGAGGACCAGAAATGAACAATGTTTTCTTTAGAAATTGAATAGTGCAAACCTTGCTAAGGCAGGTAATCCATAGTCCCCAGGAATCACCAGAAAACATCAAATTGAGTCAGTTCTGCCACAAAAAAACAGAAGCTGACCTGTAATCCAACGCCATCGTAAGTGGTGTATTCCTCTGCCCAAGACTTGTTGAAGATTGGTTGATAGAAACAAGGTTGGCCAAGGTCTCTATATTTCTTCGGTTCGACACCATGTCTTGCCAAACGTTTCAAGAAAATGCAGCTGTTCAACAACAATTTTCTACAAAATGAATCAACATGCCTTGGTAAAAATCCCCTTTCCATTTTGGGGGTAGCTCAAATGATCCTCATGTGCGAGACAAATTAAGGGAACAGTCACAAGTCACAAGCCTGGAAAACGAGAACAACAACGATAAAGATCGATGTTCTTGGGGGCCTGGTCAAATCATTGCCTAGATATGTTTATGCCCGTTCTACACGTGCATTTGTTTAAAGAAAACAGGCACATGGAAGTGCAACTCATCATCAACTCACGACTTGTTCTCTAGAAAATGATCAGGAATAGCATGAAGCTGCACCAGTCAAAAAAAACAATAAATATGTGTCAAAATCCAAGACCCAAAATACGTCATGTTTTCTCTAGAAAATGAACTGCCTAACCCTTCCTGAAACCGGCACCCTATATTCCCCAGGAAGCCCCAGAAAACATCAAATTGGTCCCCCAGGAACTAAAACCTCATTTCAAAAAAACATGATCCAAGGAATCCCCCCAAACAATGATGTCATCGACCCTTTCATGTTCAGGCATTTTCTAGGCAAACATTGAATGAGCCAAGGGTTTCCCAAAATACTAATGTCTCTGTTCGGCTTACACTTCATTCAAACAATATTGCGCATTGGCACTTCAAGATTTTGGCACTTTCGAGTGAACCCTGAAGTTCCGTCTGCACAATTTTGGAATAAACAGTTCAAAAAAACACATATAATCACATGACATTTCAACAAAATCTCGATAAATTATGGTCAAATTATATCTGTTTCCTGGATACCCCAAATCGTCTAGAAAATGCATGGCACAATCAATTGGGCTCTTGATATCAATCTAGCAGCTGTCTAGAAAATAACTTGATATGGAAGGATGAACTTGGCCCTGGGCATGGGGCTTTTTAAGCATTCCCGGACAAGAGTTCGATTGTTTTTTTTTCAACCCTTATCGAAACTTATCTTTCTAGAAAATGGTCAGATACATTTAATTTATATATAAAATCATGAAGGACCTTTTCGACTTTCCCCAGGAAATGTAGGGAAATTGACTGGGCGGGAAGTTTGTAGCTAGAAAATGGGGGTCACTTGAGTGACCCCTTAGAATCTTGGAAATTTCAATGGGGGTGCGCCATCAGCATTTGTTGCGCTGGTTGCCGGCCCCAATGCTTTGGCCAACGAGGACCCGCTTCGTTGACGTGGACGCGGCGGTGCAGAGGATGACGGCCCAATGGTCACACAAACTGTGCAGTGAAGCTGCCCTTACACAGCACTGTGCGGTACAGGCGCAATCCTTCTTCAACAACCAGCGTGCGACAAGGAAGCGTGGCAATGCAAAATAGAAACCCCAAAGCAATGTTATTGGAACTTTTTCCGAAGTCTTGGGGCGTCCATTTCAGGTTTGTTCTTGGAATTAATTTCGTACTGCAGGGAAGGAAGGAAAGAGGAACAAGGGGACACGCAATGAAAATGGAGGGATCTCGCAGAAAGAAACCATGAGGCCCAGCCTCCCCTGAAAAGCCAACCCTGCGACTGAAGTAGCAACAGGAGACAATGACAGATCTGTGTGCGAACCTGGGAAATGACATTGTTTCAACCAACTTTTGCTCCACCCCTTGTATAGCAGCCGCCCTTCCACCCCAATGACAAGAGACAAGAAAGTATAGGCCCTCACTACCAGATAGAATACTGTCATCCCTCATAAAAAAGATAAAATATTCAACGGAGCAGGTAAATCAACAAGCCGTACCTGTGTAAAGTGCTTCAAAAAAGTGTGTGTGTATATATAGCCATATATAGCCACAATGCCTATGTGAAGTGCTTCCACTGAGGGTACAAATATGTCGTGAATGTTGCACCATACCTATATAAAGTGAGGTTGACAATGTAGCAACTGTAAGATCATCAAAAGGATGAGATTCCTTTCAGTTCCTTTCATTGTCCTTCGGTTTTCCTTTTATGTTCCCAGCCTATGGTTCCAAAAGTATTTCTATTTCCTTGTGCTTGCGTTCCTTTCATGTACCTTTCACTTCCTTTCACGTTTATTTCATTTGCCTTTTACTTTTATGCCCTGCCATTTCATCGAAAACATATCGAATTTCTGCGCATGTTCGTGTCAAATTATGTTCATAGTCCTTGGTTCTTTTCATGATCTTCCATGCCCGTTTATGCTTTTTCCAGTTCTTTACTTCTTCCAACGTTCTTCTATCTTACTTTACTCTTTACTTTATTTTAATGCATTTCATTTCCTTCCACTTTCCTTTCATGTGCGTTTTTTTCCATGTCCTTCCATTCTCTGTTCATATCCTTTCATTGTCCCTTCATGTCATGCCCAGAATCTCACAGATAGACTATTCGGAATGCGTGACCGTGGCCATCGTGGTGGTCACACTTTATAGGTGTGAAAATGAAAAAAAATCAAAGGTACACACATACAAAAGCAATTCCTTTCGTGTTCGTGCCATTTCCCTTTCATTTCTGTTCATATTCCTTTCATGCATTTTCTTTTCTCCTGTCAGTTTCCTTTCACTTCCTTCCATGTTTCTTCCATTTCCGTCAATCATATCTTTGTCTTACGTTCACCTTATTTAATTTCCCTCCTTTCCTTATGTTTTTTCATGTCCTTCTGATGTTCCTCTGATTTCCCTTTCCGTTCGTCTCATTTTCCTTCTCATCTCCCTTTCATGTCCCTTTCATTTTACTCTCTGGTAACTTCAGTTTCCTTCCCTTTTTCCTTCAAGTCATGCCATTTTCCTTGTATGTCCTGTCATTGTTTGAAATCATATCGAATTTCTGCACATATTCGTTTCAAATTATGTTCACAGTCCTTCATTCTTCATTTTCTTCCATGGCTGTTTATGCTTCTGCTCAGTTCTTTACATCTTCCAACGTTCTTCTATCTTCCTTTCACTTTACTCTACTTTATTTAAATGCATTTCATTTCCGTCCACTTTCCTTTCATGTGCGTTATTTTCCATGTCCTTCCATTATCTGTTCATATCCTTTCATTGTCCCTTCATGTCATGTCCAGAATCTCACAGATAGACTATTCGGAATGCGTGACCGTGGCCATCGTGGTGGTCACACTTTATAGGTGTGAAAATGAAAAAAATCAAGGATACACACATACAAAAGCAATTCCTTTCGTGTTCGTGCCATTTCCCTTTCATTTCTGTTCATATTCCTTTCATGCATTTTCTTTTCTCCTGTCAGTTTCCTTTCACTTCCTTCCATGTTTCTTCCATTTCCGTCAATCATATCTTTGTCTTACGTTCACCTTATTTAATTTCCCTCCTTTCCTTATGTTTTTTCATGTCCTTCTGATGTTCCTCTGATTTCCCTTTCCGTTCGTCTCATTTTCCTTCTCATCTCCCTTTCATGTCCCTTTCATTTTACTCTCTGGTAACTTCAGTTTCCTTCCCTTTTTCCTTCAAGTCATGCCATTTTCCTTGTATGTCCTGTCATTGTTTGAAATCATATCGAATTTCTGCACATATTCGTTTCAAATTATGTTCACAGTCCTTCATTCTTCATTTTCTTCCATGGCTGTTTATGCTTCTGTTCAGTTCTTTACATCTTCCAGCGTTCTTCTATCTTCCTTTCACTTTACTCTACTTTATTTAAATGCATTTCATTTCCGTCCACTTTCCTTTCATGTGCGTTATTTTCATGTCCTTCCATTATCTGTTCATATCCTTTCATTGTCCCTCCATGCCATGTCCAAAATCTCACAGAAAGACTATTCGGAATGCATGACCGTGGTCACCACGGTGGTCCCATTTTATATGTATGAATTTGGAAAAAATCAAATACACACCCGCACAAAAACGTTTCCTTTCGTGTTCGTGCCATTTCCCTTTCATTTCTTGTCGCATTCCTTTCATGCGTTTTTATTCTCCTGTCAGTTTCCTTTCACTTACTTCCATGTACCTTCCATTTCCGTCAATCATATCTTTGTTTTACGTTCACCTTATTGAATTTCCCTCCTTTCCTTTTGTTTTTTCATGTCCATCTGATGTTCCTCTGATTTCCCTTTCCGTTCGTCTCATTTTCCTTCTCATCTTCCTTTCATGTCCCTTTCAGTTTACACTCTAGTCACTTCAGTTTCCTTCCCTTTTTCCTTCAAGTCATGCCATTTCCTTGTATGTCCTGTCATTGTTTGAAATCATATCGAATTTCCGCGCATATTCGTTTCAAATTATGTTCATAGTCCTTGGTTCTTTTCATGATCTTCCATGCCCGTTTATGCTTCTTTTCAGTTCTTTACTTCTTCCAACGTTCTATCTTTACGTGAATGACCGACACAACAAATGTGCAGGGTAACTTTTGAATATTCTATCTGTGAGATTGAATGGAAAAACCAGGGTTTGATAATGTTTGGCATGTCTTAATTTGAATGTCTTAATTTGGCATGTCCTAATGTTTGGTAAATGCATAAATAAGTAAGGATATATACATATACATATATATATATACAGCTTTATGGTTGAATCTTTCTATATATCTAGATATACCATCCTTTTGATGATGTTACAGTTGCTACATTGTCAACCTCACTTTACATAGGTATGGTGCAACATTCATGACATAGTTGTACCCTCAGTGGAAGCACTTCACATAAGCATTGTGGCTATATATGGCTATATATATACACACACGCTTTTTTGAGGCACTTTGCATAGGTACGGCGTGTTGATTTACCTGCTCCGTTGAATTTTCTAAAATCTTGTGCATATTCTATCTGTGACAATATTCTATCTGCTAGAAATGGATTTTGTACTCATTTTCTTTTTTTGAGTACTAAAATCTTCTATCTGGTAGAAATGCGCTATAGTGGAGTCTAGAACTAGAACCTTTCCACCCAAGTAAAAGCCAGATGAGATAGGGACAGACCTCCATTGGAACATGGGAGTGAAAATTGCGTGAAGATTTTTCCCATTAGGGCCACCGTTCGACGTCAGCAATAACAGTTAAGGAAGGTAATTGAGAGAGGACATCTGGCCCAACCTCACGTGAAGAGGCTCCCTTCCAGCCAAATACTGAAAACAGACACGCACAAGAAGGGAAATGCAAAACAAGAGGGTATAATGACAGGGGGGCAGAAGGGGGGAGGTAAAGATTTCGCCTCACCCCTTCCAACAAAACAACCCTTTCACCGTTCACCCCAGTAGCAACAGGCAAGTACAAGAGGGGGAAGGCTAAAAGCAAGTTCATTGTTGAGAGAACGATGCTCCACGTCCTTCAAGAGCACATCCTTCCACCCAAGTAAAAGCAGGAGGAAGTAGTGACAGACCTCCGAAAGAGCAAAGGAATGAAGACAATGTGTTTCACCCGTTCCTGACTAGTTCCCGATGGTGTCAGATTTTTGCAAAATTTTGAATATACATTTTTCAAACGAGTTTTATTGCCATTGGTGAACGCTGGGATGGGTTAACTTGCTCGAAAAAAAACAAATGTCTTGAAGGAAACCTGCTGGGTAAGAACAATGACTATTCCTATTTACGGTATTCGGTCTTATGGAAATCGCCAAGAATTTTCATAAATTCCCCGGAGCCCCAAATTGTGGATTCTCAACCCCAAGTTTACACACATAGTTAATGGGTGATCAGCACCTTATTTCTTTATGTCTGGCCCCAAAACAGGGGCTTTCCAACGCCGAAAAAACGTTTCTTGCACAGGCCAGCCGAAGCACAAAAAACAACCCAGACCCACCCTTGCACCAGTCGAGAACCAGTGGGAAGAATCATGCGCCAATACCACCTCCCACTCTGCACCGCAACTGGCCAAACGTTTTAAGCCAACCAGGAGCTAATCAAATACTGGTCTGCTGTTTTCTTCAAACTTGTTTGTATCAACTTGTTTGTATCAATGTTGTTAGCGGGGAAATTAACCTCATCAAAATTTATAGATGGGTTCAACGTCTTGTGATGGTACAAACTTTCTGGGCGGCCCTTTCCATATATCCAATAAAGACCACATTCAACAGCATATTAAAAAACATGTCTCATCTAGGTTTTTATTGTTGCTACATGCATTCTTCAACGAACAAATGCTGGTAGTTGAATGTATTTGCCTGCTCTTGTGGGATGATATTTACTATGCATAATATGAGTTTCAACAACTTTAGAAATCACCAGCCCTGATTGATAGAGTGCCATATCTAAATTATTGTTTCTATATCTGGTCTCATGTTGTTGAAAGCATATCTTAACTCTTGACTCTTCTTCATTTGTTATTGACCTAGTCCTCACTGTAAGCTCCTGCCCTTCAAAGATATTTTGAACAGCAAGTTTAACAGCAGCATTTAGTTCAATACCCTTATGCTTCTCGAAGCGTTTCAGACTGAGAAGTAGAATATGTGAAACCGTTCATTTTTTTTGTGTTTCTGTTCGTTTTTGAATTTGTGCCAGCACTGGTAAAAGCCCTGACAGCACTTTGAACATCAGTTGTAGTTGCCCCTTTTTCCAATGGCATATGTCTTAAAAACGTTGCCAACTTATTAGTTAAAGGCTTATCAGGACTGTATCTATATTCTCTGTTGTCTATGATTGATGTTTTCATTTTTTTTACGTTTCTTGTTTAGTTTGTATTTGCCTAGATTAAAATGAATTGAGCACTTTTAAAGTATTTCCATCAGAAAGTAGATTTCTGTTCATTTTTTGACCTATATTCTGTTCAGTATCGTTATTTGTTTAAGCAATTTTCAAGACACATTTCTAGGAATTACCACATTCTTCAAATTCATCAGTCATCAGCCAATAGCAGCCTATGACGCAACTATCTTCTTTTTCATCCTTCTGAAATAAAACATTTTTGTACTGTGAAATCTCCATCTTTTTTTTAAAAAAACTTTTATGCCTTTTCAGACCGTCTACTAACGGTTTCTTTTCTAGATGTATAGTTTCCTGCTCCTTCTGTATATATCTTTACTTTGTCTCTGGCTTGAAGCTGAGGGTGCTTTCATATGCTTTCTACATGATTTTGTTTCAGTGTTCGATTAACTTCTACTTTTACTCCGTATAATCTAGTGGCTTTGCTCCTGTTAACGGGTGTATTGTTTCATTGTACAGTATTTCGTTCAGGTTGGTTCAATCATATCTGTCCATACTCGCTTGGTCAATCTAATTCGGTATCCTACTCCTTTTTTTCATTGTCCTAAAATATCTTTCGACGATATTAGCATGGTTCTTGTTGTTTTGTGGATTTTGCCCAGATTGTCTAGATATGTCTAGATACTCTTTTACTCCTGATTGAAAAGCACCATCGTCATCATTGTAAGTTTCAATTGGCCTCCGTTATCTTTAAAAAGATTGATTGAAAGCGTTTTGTTTGTCATTGGAACCACATTGCCTAGCTTACTAAAAGCACCAATGACTATTAAACCATGTCTTTCTACTCCTTCTTGCTTACACGTTTTTTTTTTCGATCCGCGCGGTTGGGGTGAAACGTTACTGCACGGGCAGGCGGCTGGGGCCAGCGGGAGGCGCCAAATCGAGGATGTCCGGAAGTGGCGGGCCGGTGTCCCCAGCGGCCTGTTGCGGGTGTATCCACAGGTGGCCCGGCACGGTGCTGGCCACCGCTTGCTGAAGGGCGACACTGAGTAGCCCCCACCATCGGCGCTGCCAGCCACTGCGGGCTGCGGCGGGTACGGCCGCGGCAGTGCGGCGCGCTCGATGGCGCAACATATCCATAATATATTCCATAATTATTATCTATTTGCACTCCGGCACTGTCATAACGAAAATGCCAAAAGGAAATAAGAAACTGCTACAAGTCTCATATATAACTTAACTTCTTACGAGCTTCCATTATATTGGCAATTAGCTTCTAATTAGACAGTTTTGACAACAACTAATTTTAAACAATATTTCTTGCTGCTTTACATTTTCAAGTTTTTCATGTCTCTATATGTTTGCAGCGTTTGAACATCTTTTACCACAAATATTGCAGGTGTAAGGGGTGCTTTTTTGTTTCTTTGTTATACTTACTGTGGTAGTCTTTTTGATATTGTTTAGTCTTCTCAATCTTACCTCCTTCAATCGCCCTCCCCAACTACTTTGTGCCCACCCCCTCCCATTACGCGTAGCCCCTGCAAGAGAAAGGCAAGCTCCGCTTAACAATGTATAACGCGGATGTCACCAAAGATGCCCTCATTTCGGCATCTCCTATTAACTTTAACCATCTTCCTGTCCCACCAGGCGCAGGCGGACTTAGACGTGAAGTTGGGCGAATCAGCTTTCGGGACTTGCGAAACACAATGCGCCTAGATTAGCTCACGCATCGGAGGCGCTTTTGTAGAAACCACGAGCCATGATGAACCAGCTGCATTCTGCTGGAGCCGCTCTCTGTCTACTGGCCCAGGCGCTTTAAAGCCAAGACGCAAGAAAATACCCAACACCACCAGCATCTCGTAAGCAAGACCTTAAAGAAGCAGCACTATACTGAAATACCAAGGCGATTGGTCATAGGTTGGTACGAGCAAGCTTTGTTTGGACAAATCTGGCTATTTGACATCTAGATCATCTAGCGATTCTTTTTCAGGCTCCACAACATCAGCGCCTTCAACATCAAACGAGGTGCTCATTGCATCAGTCCAAGCCTCGCAGGTGTAGGATATAGTCCCCTGCGCTCCGCACAGCGGTGTCCATAAAATCATGTCCCTGGTACAGGGAAATGACACTGCCACCCCTAATTCATGCCTAGCGTGTTTTTCACAGGCAATTACCATTGTAAACGCTGTGGCCCAGAAGTCATGCCTAAGTCATGCCAAAATGTTTTTCTGCATGGAACACTGTCTTCAATGAAAGTGCACCCATGCATTTTGAACATTAAAAACAAATGAAACACCATGGAACGCGAATGGTGAAACCAATGAGTTTCTACTGCCTTATCATACGTCTCTTTTGTGCAAACCGCAGGTAAACGCTGGGGTTCTGAACCTCTGCTTCTTATATCCCAAAAGACGAGTGTCAAAGGGGATAAAGGTCTTCCTTTCCCTGGTTGCAGGTGCAAAAAATAACGCAGATAACCTGGCAGACCTTGCGTGTGAGGATGTGACTTGTTCAATACTTGTTCTTGAACAGGTGATATGACGTGAATCTGCAGATCATAATAGGGGGGGCTGAAACAAGGTTCCTTGCTGGTGAAAACTTGCGAGCTGGCAGCCCGCACAGGTTTCCCTTTCTAAACCATCAAAATCAACGAAAAGATTGCGGCCAGTCCTGTGATCAGACCTTGCGCGCAGCTCTACAAACATAGCATCGTTAGTTTCCAAGCCCCAATATAAGGATGCTATCAAAAGCGTGGCTTGGGACATGCGCTGGACCTGTGTCATGCTGTGCATCGACAGCGGCATGCTGCTTCTAGTTCAGGTGAATTTCTAAATATAGCAATATATCACATTGGAACATACTTGAACCATCTTCAACGTCCACATTGCAGAATATGTTCCGGGAACCCCTTCAACGTCCAATATATTTAGCAATCAAAAGACTTGAGAAACCAACGCAGGGCAGGACAATCTTTGACGAATGTCCCGACCAATCAAATCACCACTTCAATGCTGTCTTACAAGCGACTATCAGCATCCCCAGTCATGTAAACCTGCATGGTAACAGTGTTGAGTACATGATCTCGTCAGAAAAAGGGTTGCATAACCAGAATACAGAGTTCCCCTGCATCCCTGCTTCAGGCACGACTTTTCGGAACACTTTCCCCAACGGTACAACGGTCTTTCCCTGAAGCGTCAGATGCCTGTAACTGTTTGAAGATGCCACTCTTTTGGTGACCCTGCTGGGGCGCCCAGCATGTACTTGCAAGGCGCAATCAAGAAAAGGGCCAGTTTACAAAAGCATGGCGCTCGCAGGTTTTCTCCCTTCCAACTCAAGACTTCGCCTTCGGCGCGCAAGACCTTGAACCGCAACTTTAACCACCAGTGCCCAGCTGGGGGTGCAAGGCTCTTTTGCGCGCATGGCCGGCGCGACAGCCTATACGGACGGCCCGGTCCGACCCGGTAGGACCCGGTAGCGCTCTCGATCTTGCGCTTGAAAAGGCGAACGCCAAAGGTGATAGGGGAAGTGTGGAAGTAAGATTTTTGATGCTGATGCGGGTATGCGCGTCAAACCAGATTTGCGGATATTTGCGGTGCTTCCCACGCCCCGACAAATACATCATTTCGGTGCCTAAATGAAATATGGTTTCAAATTGGCGTTCAGCAGGTCTAGAGCCTACGCTTTACTCCGCACAAGAAAATTCAAGGCAGCCTACCTTTCGTGACTTGCTTCGGGCCTTACCATGTTGAAGGCTTGTAGCCAAGCACTTAAATTTCGGATTTTTGTTTCCTTTTCCCGAGAATGGGACAGTGGGTTCCTCCCCTGGTCCTGGGCCAGGGTTGGGCCGGGTGAGGTTGGCATGAGCAGCAGGTGCCGGCAGCCTTTGTTGGGTTTCAAATGGGCTACAGGTTCTTTGCCTGGAGCAGCAGCAGCAGTAGCAGCAGCAGCAGTAGCAATAGCAGTAGTAGCAGCGTAAGCAGCGAGATGCACACCACTGCCGTCGCCCGATTACCACGACGAATAAGACGACGACGACGACTACTATACTACAACTACTACTACTACTACTACTACTACTATTACTAGCAACTACGTATACTGCTGCTGCTGCTGCTACTACTACTACTACTCCTACTACTTGTACTACTTGTACTTGGACCACAGACGCAACGTGCGCTCCTTCATCCCAAGGCAATGGAACAATGGCTCCACCTGCAGCACGCAGCTACAAAAATGCCACATGACCCGTCATAAGCCGAAACTTCCATATCTTCCATATCTTCCATCTTGCATAGGCCCGGACAGCCATCATGGCGATCATATTGAGCATGAGAAAGAAGCTGAAGAGCTCTGGACCGCCGGCCACCAAGTAGCGTGGAAGGCGCAAAGCAAAGGCCTTTTCAGTGTCCTGCCCGGTTTTGCCGGTTTCGGATGCCCACGCTACTTGAAGCTATTTTTGCAGTTTGCACACTTGCTTCCTAATCTTTGGGCCCTGCTCCTTCTGGCGATAAGACCTGAATATCTCGCTTGTGTGCCAATAGAGCAGCCGCACGAAGCCCAAGGAATAAACCAAGATGCGAGCGACAGCGAGACTTGTTTCAGCCCTTAGAGTTGAACAGTTTTTGGGTTGTGAATAAAGACAAAAGAATACACATATGGCTAGCTACGAATTGCCATGCCCTTTTTTCGTTTTGCGGTGATTCAACCAACGGATCCTCCGTTATGCCCTCGGCTATTCCGCCGGTCGCTTGTCACGACTAATTTCAGGGGATGGCCAATGGAATTGGAAAGGCTTGCGAGCACAGCAAACCTTAGACTAGGACATCAATGCGCCAGCAGAGCGTCAGGGTAACGTCAAGGTACATCGCATTTTGCTAATTTAGCCACGGCGCGTCGGGTTTTCTTGCAAAGCTGGCTGAGTCAGGAAACCTTGGGAAGGACCAGTTTTTTGATGGAACCCTTCGAACTCACAGGCGTCTCACACTTCAGCTTGCTGCAGTTAAGCTGCAGGTGGCCAAGAGAAAAACCACGAAACTGACCATTGTCAGGACGCGGTCCAGGAAGAAGGACCGTTTGGCCTTGGCAGGGCGCTGATGGTGAAGCGGTTATAGGTAGTTTATATAACCGATCATGGTGACCCTCTCGCTGATTTTTTGTTCAGCTGTTTGACCATGTTTTGCTAGCAATTGCCATGAAGCAGTGATGAGCAATGTCCTTGTTCAAGCGAAACTGGAAGCAATGCTGCTTGAATTTCGTGAATCCCTCATGGTTCCAAATGCTGGCTTTGGTCCTCTTTGCCAAGTCGCCAAGTTCACCCACAAAACCTCTAAAACAAAGACCAAGATAGGATGCATTATGGTCTTTGGATTGTTATACTTTATGAAGCTGATTAAGGCCCTTGAGAATGTCTTGGTCTCGTCCATATCCTTCACCAAATGCTCCACGTAGTAAATCACTGGCCGCATGCCGTCCTGAAGAGCGAAAACACGGCGAAAGACTCTCGGATTTCAACTCCACCATGGTGTGTGAGGCTAGACATGCTTTCACACTGCTTTCAAACACAGGGGGCCAACTGCCCCGGCCCAGTGCACAGCCTTGGTCTTGTGAGATCTCCAAATCCTCGGTTTCGCAAAGCTTACCCCATTCTGCACCGCAAGGCCGGCTCCAATCCAATTCAATGCATGCCCCTGAACGTACCAACGGCGCTCACAAGTCCGTGAGATTGTGCCCATTCACACTGCCTGATAGAATAAACGAATTACCTTGAAAAGGATTGAAAAGGATCTTTACAATGATGTCGACGCCTTTCGAAGTTCCCTAAGACAATTTAGCCTGGCACTGGGAAAGAATTCAGAACCGAAACCAGACGTTCAATTCAACTATATAGTTACACGCAAAACCCAGGACAGCGGTAAACAGGACATGGAGTCAACAGTTTCGCAAATTCCTCTTCGGCAGCTGCGTGGATCAGGCATCCCTGGTCTATATCCTTACCACATGTCACCCAGCTTTGTTGGCAAAGGAGGTGACATGGTCACCTCTGCCCCTGCTTGACCTACATGTTGCGCTATTCAAAAGATTCCGATTAATTATTCGAACTACTCTTTCCTGCATGACAACTATTAGGTTTCACACACACATACAGTCACACATATCATTTTGAACAAAGATGCAAGGCGTGAAAGCTAACTGCCAGACAAGTGCCCGGTGCAGTGGCTTGCTCCGGAGCGTCATTTCTCACTCGCAAGACCACATTCCTACTAATCTACAGTAAAATAATCCAGCCCAATCTAGAAGCTGTTTTTCCACTAAATTGCTCTAGGACTCTAGGATTGTATTTTCCGGTCTGAGCCAAACCTGTGCTGTGGAAAACTAGCTGCCTGTAAGCCAGGCACCTATCTCATTGGTCGCATGCCAAGTGTCAGCCCATTCAGCAGCGTCACTGAGAGCAGCGGTGCTTCGAGCAGAATGTCTTCAATGACATCAGGTTGGAGCCTCTCAGGGTCTCAGGGTCTGGCCGTCAAGGTCAGTGATCTTGTTGTTGATTCCACTACAAGTATGGTCCATTGCATTCATGCACGCTTCGGTCTGTTTTTGGTCAAAGCTACTAGGACGCATCTTTCTTGATCTCTTCGCATGCTGACGGTGACGGTCAATTCTTTACTGTATTGGGGCCTGAAAATGTCGTTAACGCCGTAGTAGTACCGATCCCTGTCCTCAGCAACCAAGACAGAGCCTGCTGACCCCGTATACAATATGATTCCTTCATCCTGCTTGTTTGCCGCTTTGCTTTGCTGCTTTGTTTCCGCCCGGATTGTAAGCATATCCTCGAGCATGGTCTTTGCAGCCGTGTGGGCACCGCTCCTAGCAGCAGTCCATTCCAATGAGAAAAAACAACACACGCACACACAAGTGTTCCATGTGCTTTGTTGTTTTCAATGCAGCTGGCGATCTTGCTTCTGCCCATCCTCAAAGCCCAAAACAGCGGTGAAATGCATTGGCTGCCAACCGTGACTCGCAACAGGAGGTTGCTGCGCTCAGCCTCTATTCTCCATCCGGCTGTGGGGGTTGCATTGTCGTTTGCATCATGTGACTTTTGTTTGGGGAATTCTTCTCGAATCCTGCGAGTCAACCTGGCCTGGTGTCGCCTGGTCATCAAACCTTTTGTGTGGCTTTCATACTCCAACTTATTCGGTTTGCTTTGCTGCAGGCTGAAAGGATATATGGACATGAAGGCCTCTGAACCTCACCCAAATCATGCTGTTTCATATTGGGCAACACAAAACGATGCTCTAGCATGCTCTAGCGTGTCACCACCTGCTGTCCCTGATTGTGACACAAATTGATAGAGCTTCACAGCAAGTGTCAATTGACGTCAATCTCTGAAACAGGTTTGTTGTCCCTGAACCAAGATCTGGTTGCAAGGAACAGCGTCTGTTAGATGTTTGTGGTCGCGGCTGATTGTGGCATGTTGCAGACTGGAAGATCTTGGCACACTGGACATTTTTGTGAACAGTTTCGCCATGGTACCCTTGAGGCTTCGTTCAACGATTTTGTGAGGAGGGCCGCGTCATCTGCGTTGATGGACTGCCTGGCATGGTCTTGGAAAGGCTTGGGGCTACCATGCATCAGTTTTTCTCAATATCAAGCTGGGGCGGGAGAAAGGAATGTTAATAATGATTAACTGAACAAATACATAGACGGCCATCATATAACTAGGAAGGAAATATTGTAGCATCTTACATATTTCCTGCAAACTACAATATGTTGCATGCTTAAATGCAGCCTGTACATTGCTAATAGCAAACGACCTCTAAAACCGAACGTGAATATCTACTACTTTCAACTACTAGGGGAGCCTCAATATATCTAAGTCTAGACAGCCTAGACCCTAAAACAGTCTGAAGGCTATAACCAGTGGGGCTTAGTATAGAATCATTTTTCTGGCTCGAAACCTTCTGGGGCTACGGGAGGCCAGGGCTCAGAGCAAAACTTGATACATATATATTATATATATACACGTTGGATGATACAAAAGCACTGGCAAATGCAAGCCAGACATTTTCAACCCCACTCTTTGGAATGAACTCAGCTGCCTCCAGTCGTTTCCAAGTCATGAAGTCATGAGGAATCTGTTGAAGACCCTGCGGAATGGGCCCCTGCCCTGAAAGGATACAAAACAAGAACCCCTCACCGTTCACAATCTATGTTCAAACCTTCTGAGAATCTTACAGCCACAGACTGAGTCCGGACCAAGGAATCATGTTTTCATTTTTCGTTTTGTTTTTCGTGTTTCTTTCCTGTTTCATATCATTCTTCGATCATGTGAAAGTATCATTTTCATTTTTTGATTCTCCAATTCTATGAAAATGTCATTCTCATTTGTTTATCGTGTTTCCCTCATGTGCAGTTGATATTATCATGTTCATACGTGTTCCTTTTTTGCATTTTGCCATCATGTACTTGTCATTCAGGACCGAAAATGAATCGAAGCAAAATCAGAAACGGAAAATATTATATATATATAGATAATATATACCAAATGAGAAATTGAATTGAATGAAAAGAAAAAACGACAGCAAAACTGAAAAAAACACATATACCTTAACCCACACAAAAAATCAAAACAAAAACGAACATGAAAACAAAAATATGAACATGAAACATGAAATGGAAAAATGAAAAATAAAAAACGAAAAACAACTAGACGACGGATGGCCCGAGAGCGTAGAGGAGCAGGGTCTTCTCTTGTTAGTATGGAGATGCAATTTTAGAAACGGTATATGAAAGCTGTGTTATAGGCAGTCGAGAAGAGGAGTATCAAGACAAAATAGTGAGAAGTGCAAGACAGGAGTTTGCATCGCAAACACTTTTACACACAGACGCTTTTACACAGACGCTTTTACACACAAAGCTTTTACCCACAGAAGCTTTTACACACAGAAGCTTTTACAGACAGAAGCTTTTACACACAGAAGCTTTTACATACAAACACTTTTACACACAGACGCTTTTACACACAAACGCTTTTACACACAGACGCTTTTACCCACAGACCCTTTTACACACAGACGCCTTTACACACAGACACTTTTACACACAGACGCTTTTTACACACAGACACTTTTTACACACAGACGCTTTGACACACAAACACATTTACACACAGACGCTTTTACACACAGACGCTTTTTACACACAGACGCTTTTTACACACAGACGCTTTGACACACAGACGCTTTTACACACAGACGCTTTTACACACAGACGAAAGGGTTGCTCCAAGGCAAGTCAAATCGCAATTTTACCTCAGTTTTTGCCGATCGACCCTCATTTCGTGCGAAAGGGTTGCTCCGGGGCAAGTAAAATCGCAATTTTACCTCAGTTTTTGCCGATCGACCTTCATTTCGTGCGAAAGGGTTGCTCCGGGGCAAGTAAAATCGCAATTTTACCGCAGTTTTTGCCGATCGACCCTCATTTCGTGCGAAAGGGTTGCTCCCGGGCAAGTCAAATCGCAATTTTACCTCAGTTTTTGCCGATCGACCCTCATTTCGTGCGAAAAGGTTGCTCCCGGGGCAAGTAAAATCGCAATTTTACCTCAGTTTTTGCCGATCGACCCTCATTTCGTGCGAAAGGGTTGCTCCGGGGCAAGTCAAATCGCAATTTTACCTCATGCAGTTTTTGCCGATCGACCTTCATTTCGTGCGAAAGGGTTGCTCCAGGACAAGTCAAATCGCAATTTTACCTCAGGTTTTGCCGATCGACCCTCATTTCGTGCGAAAGGGTTAGAGTTAACGGGGCAAGTAAAAGATCGCCCAATTTTACCTCAGGTTTTGCCGATCGACCTCACTTT